GGTTGGGTTTATAGGGTTTATAGGGCTTGTTGGGATTAGGGTTTAGGGTTTATAAGGTTTATGGGGTTTGTTGGGTTTTGGGGTTTATAGGGTTTATAGGGTTTGTAGGGTTTATAGGGTTTGTATAATCAACATTTTTGCTCCCCCACATCAGAAAAATTCCTTAAGGTTAGGTTCCATACGGGTTTTACCGAAGTCTTTATGAAGTTTAGGGTCTGCCAGCGACTGCGTAGGTGTTTGGGGATTCGGCAAGTTTGCGGGCTTCGGGTGTTTGGGCTTAGCACTCAGGGTTTAAGAGCCTTAGGGAATCTAGGAAGGATCCTCACTCCTGACATTATGGACGAAATGCTCCTACAAGCGGCTGCAGGTTCAAACGCCATCATGGCATTCGTCGCATACGCTCTAAACCTATGGGTCTTGAACTAAGGGAATATCCATGAAGGCCCCCATAACAGCTTAATCGTGGCATGCACAAATTAAACAAACCCTCAACATAACCGCAGCAGAGGTAGAAATAACTTAGGAAGCGGTTAACAATGATATGGAACCTCAAAACCGAAGACCGGTTTACGATTTGAGGTCTGGGTTTAGTTTAACCGGAAGCCTACCAAATACGCCCAAGCCCGAAACCCTGAAATCCCAAACGGCAGGGAGAAGCAAAGGTAGAAGAAAACCACGAACATCTCTGTGCAGATTTCTTCCCCTAAAAGTCCATGTGCCTATGTAGCAAGTTTATACATTTTTGGCCCAGCAGTTATTTCCTAGAGATACTTCGTAGGAATCCGTCTAAGCCTGTAAAGCCGGTGTACGTACTATTCAGGTTTATGGACCATGTGAAACCTTCGAGTGACCCGGATAAAATCTTAAGAAGACGCTATAGAAATCAGAAACCTTGTTACAAAAACCCTTTGAAGGGAGCCATTAAAAGGAAACCAAAGTATGGACCCTAAAAAGTCCGGTCAAATGAACCCGCGACTTCCCTAAGCCCAAACCCGACAGGCTCCAAGTAGCTGAGCGGAAGTTCAACTTGAGATGCAAGGTCGAAACTGAGCACCACCATAGAAAATCTGTGAAATCCAAAAACCACAAATGCGGGTCTGGGGCCCCAGGCTGGAAGAGAAAATTGCCGAACACTAATTTTGGCCTTTCCGGTCCTTTGGGGTCTGGGCGGTGCGCCCAAAAAGTCTGGGTCCAGCTGGTAAATTCCCAAAACGAAGTTTGGGCCCCCAGCCTGGCAGACCGGCCTCCAAGCCTTTGTTTTTTTGTGCGAAGCTGTATCCCAGGGTCGGCGTTTACACGTCTAGCCACCCTCACAGGGTGCGAGGGGCAAGTTGTTCGTTGGAAACCCTGGCTTCTCGTCGAGCGG